TACCACTATCACTGTAACTTCACACCACACAAGCGTCTAGATGATCTCAATTAGTATCAAATAGTGTAAAAGTAGGTACATGAGCCTGAAATATTATTTTAACAATTATTACCGTTCTTTTTAATTTTTTCTTGTCAAATCTCATCTCTACAAGACAATCAAATTGACCTAACAGTACTGCCATCCTAAACCTTGGGTTTTGAAACTTGATATAGGTTTCTAATCATCTTTTGTGAAATTTTGATTTTCAATCAAAAACTTTGTTACTTTTTAATAGATGATAAAGATATATTTATTGAGAAATTTTCCTTTTTAGAAATACGTTTGCTGTTAAAATAATTAAATGGCTTCATCCCTTGCTCTTCTAAATTCAATCATTGATCCATTTTGATAAATCCATCTGAAAAGACGAAAAGTGATGAGTCCTTTACATACAGGCTCATTAAAGTCTTATTCTCTTTTAAATCTTGGCGAACAATACGCTTTTCTTATCTTAAACAACCAGTTGAATAGTCGAGAATCCAAAACGAGTTCAAATATAGATTTTCCTTCAACGAATCTCAAAACCAGGTAATCTTTTAGAGACAATGTAAAGACAAAGACCCTAGAACAAGCTGAAAAGATAGAAAACTTACAAAGAAGTTATTGTTGTTGTTGTTGGATAAAACATTTATTATTAATAATAAGTTATATTAAGTTATACATGTATAAAGGAAATTAACGAATCAAAGGGGGATGAATTGTTAATGGCAGAAGACTAATAAATAGTCTTTCTTTGATGGAATCCCTGCTATGAAATGACCTTCTTATACCTTAAAAGGATATAAATAATGCAAAAACTAACATAAACTTTGCACTGTATACAAATCAGAAAATATAACAGTTAATAATTTGTCTCTAACTAGAAATGTTGCAGAGAAAAATTTATTCTATAAAATATTGTTCCAGTATTAGGGTCTTCCTCCTTTATAATATAAAGTAAACGTTCAATCAAATTTATTATTAATGGAGAGAGATTAAAAGCAAACAGTAATAGCAGCCTTATTATTTGGTTCAAAAAGTATTTTACTTATTATACCTTTTTTGAAACTATGTAATTGTAAAGGCTTTTTTACTTTCGATATCCTCAAAACATTTGCTATCGCCTGCAAATTGAATGTCTGTTACACGTATTTTTCGTAAAGAATGAAAAAACATTAAAACGCACTTGTTCAGAAAATAAAACCATTATGACCCAACAAAATTGTACACATGTGAGAGTTTCGGTGATTCTATGACTTCCTTTCCTAATTATTAGGAGAAAATAGAAAGAAAACTTACTGCAACAAGTCCGCCAATTTCGCAAGGAACGTCGAAATAATTGAAATGGATTTCTATTCTCTGGTCAGGTTCAGTGAACATGTAAATTCCACACACAGTCTCTTCGTTGTTAAGTGATTTGTAAAAGAAATTTCCTTCTTCTGAAGTCATGTATAGGCAATCTGAAATGAAAATAGAAGCAGAGTCTTCTTCTGATAATTTAAAGATACCAAGCAATAACAAAAGTTTCATGAACTAGATGAATTGCCAGAGTGCATAACTTTGTCTACATTTCTATTTCGATGAAAAAATAAAATTCAAATTTCAATTAAAGTTAGTTCTTCAATTTACAATACTTATTGATACTATTAATAAAAGGAATTATTTCAAAAGATGTCATTAGAACTTTTAAAAGGTATTCGGGTGTGAAGTCAAATGATGAAAATCTTTGAAAACTTTCCCGGAAGTTGAGTCTTTCGATAAAAAATTCTACTGTTACTAAAATAGCAATACAGACAGCTCCCATTATTAATTACTTATTATTTATTACACAAATGCTGTATTATTTGTTGTGTTTTCGATTTCAATATTCCTATTATGGAGATGCAAAGTTCTTTTTTAACTTTCTATTTAAATGGACCACAGAAACTTCTGCACAAATTGATTCAATTTATTTATCCATTCAAACTAATACTGTGTCCCAATACAGTTTTTTATTGATTTTGAATGGTAGGGAAATATTCGACGGTTTGGCATGAATTTGTAAGCAGGTCATTTGTTAAATTTACTTCTCTTCTTCTTCGTCTAATTTTCTATTCATAAATATTGAAGGAGCCTGTAAGGACATCCCGAAAGGACATTGAATGCCTACCTGAGAATTTTTTCATTGTAATATTTACGGAATTGTCTATTTATAACATTTCCCCCTTGCCCTTCCTTGCTACGATTTACCAATGATTTTAGAAACGTTGTAGGATTTCTCGTTAAATAACTTTATACTTATAAAAATGTCTAGACAATTACAGTAGGCACTACGATTTAAATAAAATATACTTTTCATATTTTTAAAAGTCAAAGAGCAACATGTTATCAGATCATCACAAAAAAAAATCGGTTGTCTGTAAAGTCGGTTTACTGACGATAGTTGAACGTGACAACGTCATAAGAAAATACTGATGGAATGGTTTCATTTTTCAAAAGAAAATTTTAATTTTATTTGTTTGATAGATATTTTGTATGGATATAGAGAAGGAGGTAA